TTCAGCATCATGAAGCTGTCACACATCAGCAAAGCCATTTCACAAAAACTCCCACTAATTCAGCTCCTCTTCAAGAAAGCTTGTGGCTAAACATGCAAAAAAAAATAAATTAAAAAAAATCACCAAACCTTGAATATATTTTCATCTAAATGGATTTTTAAGTATTTTTATCTCTTATTCAAAGAAAGCTATTCATATTTGAAAATGCAGCAAAGCATATCAAGCTGACTATGAAGTCTATTAAAATAATTCAAATTGCATTAAAAGTGTAGAAGCAATATATATGTTGCTGGAAAAGTGTTAAGAGAAGTCCAATATATGACTAGTAGCAATTATTTGATAGGTACCTAAAGCCTGAATTTGCCAAGTTACCAAAAGACTATCTTCTTCCAAAGTACAGATAATATTGTCTGCATTTTATGGCTTACTAAGTGCATTCAGCTGAGTAAACAACAATTTCATATTAAGAAGTCTTCTGAACATTGAAAATACAGGAAACCTCACTGTCATCGTCCTACCTATAATAAAGCAACTGGATGCAAGGGATTGACAGGTACAGCATTCGGGGGGAGGGGGGGAATTACCAGAAAGACACACATCTGCTCATTAATTATAGAAAACAACACTTCCTCTTTCTCACAAAAATGTTTGTGTTAAATGCAAAGCAGCTTTTCTCCCAGTGCAGTCACCTCATTTAAGTTTGCGTTGTTTAACTACTGAAGATTAAGACCCAAAGCAGAACCTAACTTCAGATGACTTCCCAGCAGCTCAGTCCTGGTAGGTTCACCTCTTCAAGGATTTCCTCACCACACACCGTAACAGGACAGTTATTTTAAAGCAGTTTCCAGGACTACTTAAAAACCTGATCAACTGTGTGTTTTTGTAAAAACATTTTAATTTTGATCATTGTTTTACCTTCACTCTTGCTTTTAGGAAATATTTTAGAGCTAGTTTCAGGTTTCCCTAAAAAGAATCTAACAAGTATTAATGCTCTATGCTTGCACAGCAAGCAGTAGTTGCTCTTGATAAGCATTTCTAGAAACTCACACAACCAGCAGTATAGTTTCTCTGTGTCATCCATTAAACAAGGAACACTATCATAGGACTGGATACTACCCATTCAAAATTTAAGCCAGGAGAAATAACAAGAGGTGATTCTGATAACCTCACAGCCATCTAAACACTATGCAGACCAACAGAATTTGCAGGAAACATTAACAAAAGGCACAAAACTAAAAGGCATGAAAACAGAAAAAAATTAAGTTACTTGAAAAAATAGAATATGAAATTAGTTTGTCATTAAAAGTTAACAGTTTTCCACAAAAAATATTCAGTCTGAGTAATGGCTGTGAGAAGACATAGCTGCTGTCAGCACATACATTGGAGAGAAATGCCAGAGGGAAACTGCTGCATCTGAGAACAGTGAAGCATCATTGGCATAGAAAACAACTAGTCACAGACACACTGAGTGTTGGATGGAAGTTCTCGAATCAGAGTACTTAGGACTCCAGGACCTACTTTCAATTTCTTTCACTGAGAGTAGAAGGAAAATAAGCTTTGTTTTATCAGGCTGGAGATTCCTAGAAAAGTACTTAAATGGGATGATTGCTTACAAAACAGGTGACACTTTATTTTAAAGCAGCAAGGTCCTAAAGTTGGAAAGCCTTTTATAGTTAAGCAGAACTGATATTGTGTTCAGTAGTAGTAAAACTCATCACACAGCTATAGCACCAGGGTCTGACTTCAATTCCATCACACTTAATACTGGTTCTCTGAGGAAACAGTAGCCACATCCCATCTTTCAAGCTGAAAGAGATTTTAATTATTTTGGGGCTTTTTTGTCCTTTTGTAGCACATCTATCTCCAAAAGACAAAGTAAAGAAAACCCAGGATTCCTCATATAGTTGTGTACCAGATTAGCACAAGCACATCATAGCTAGCTTGCTGAACAAGGCAGTGGGTTATATAAGGTTTGAATTTTAAAAAACATGAACAAGCACACTAGTTTACCATCAGATATGTGAGCCTTAGGCCTGAGAACAATGGGGTATTTTTACAAAGAATTTGAAATGCTCCATATGATATTGCTTTATAAAAGATAATGGCCTCATTTTACTTCCCGCTTTGCAGCAACAAAAATTCCTCTGTTATTTACAAGCTGATAATATGAGTGTTTGCTTGTATATAGTACTTAGAAACTGTATTGTAAACATACAAGGGATTAAAATCATTGGGACTTAAAAGGCAAGGGTTTTTTAAAGTGCGCATTTAAAATGTAGAAAAACAACAATAAACAGAGAATATCCACTGGAAAGTAAGCAATAAATTTCTCAGCAGTTCCATTTTTCAGCTGCGTTTCCAACTCAAACATTTCATCTTTGTACTAGAACAAAGACTCACGACAGTGAGTAGAAATCAATTACAAAAGCAAAACTGTCTCGTCTGGTTTTACTCTTTAGGAAAAAGGTTTTCAAATGCCTTTTCTGTATATCTTCGTCGTTACAAGTTCTTTGTGTTACATGGACTGAGAAATAATTTCATTAATTTATTTTTCAGCTGAATCAATAGCAAGCAACCTAGTCAGAGTAATTTACTTCAAATAAAAAAGGATGAAGTAGAACATAGGAATTTTCCTTCAAAATTCTTCATAAGGGTGACAGTCATCTTGGATTTGCGCTTCTAAAATGCCTTCCACAATGAGGTGCTGACCCATAACAAGGAACACAGGCATTATCACAAATAAAAGCACAACTGCTGGATACAAAGCCAGAAGTAGCTAATGTTCTCAAGCTAGGGTGTGATAAAGAGCCGAGAACACTGCCTGTATGCATCAAGAGAATTAAAAAAATATACATATATAAAACAAGCAAGTCACATACATTCCTTCATTATACATACATCAACTAAATTTCTCCATGAAACTTTTAAAAACGATTGCTTTCCAGACTACTATGAATCAACACACATCGAAATTATACACTTTAATGTAAACTTAACCACAAGAATTCAACAAACAAAAGCATTAAGAAACTACGAGGTTCCAGAAGCAACAATAGTGTCTGCAGTATCAAACACACCTAAAAAAAAGTTTCTAAAAGACAACACCAAACACTGGAATGCAATATCTCACAAAAGGTTTTACTTCAGACACTAGCATTAATTTAAATTTAAATATGCAGTACTATGCCCAGTTGAACCTCAGAAGCTGACTCTGAAGCTAGATTACATTTAGTAACTGAGCCACAAACAGACTCAGGTAAAGTACAGATAACCGTGTAATACAGCTCAAGCAGCTGCATCAGTCACAATTTCTACAACGTATGTAGAGACACACAGTATGGTTTTCTGTTGGGTTTTGGGTTTTTTTTGCAAACATCAGCCCCAAGGTTTCCAATATGTTTCTGTGATTGCTAGAATATTCAAAGAGGCTGTTGGACTTAAACTGAAGCATCAAAATAGGTCAAAATTGTAATTCCTTAGCATTCCCAGGGGAAATCCCCAGGATTGCTGAGATGCTAGTGCCAACTCAACAATCACGTTGATCAGAAAACATATCACAGTAACCATTTAACTTTTGCCTAGCAAAAAAGTGTTTGTGGCATATAGTAGAATCCATTCCAATTGCAGCTTTAGGGAGCCAAAGAGTGAAACCAACAACTGACAGACTGTCTGCAATTCCCCACTCCTATAATCACATACAGAAGCTAGCTGTACCAGACTTTGCTGGTAACATCATTAGCCATTTCAGATATGCCCAGGAGTTCCTGCCATCAAGAACAAGTTACCTTACTTATCTTACATAGCAAGTGGCAGCAGAAAGAGGCAAACACTGATGATTTGAGAAAGATCTGCTAAGGATCCAAATAAAAGCATTAAGCTATGCAAAATTAGTGAGCAAAGGGGCCAACTTCAGTAACACTTAATATACTCACACACTGGCTTGGTTAACAGAAAAAGTCCCACATCAGCTTTTAAAAACAGGGCACAGGAATTATTTATTACTCACAGTATTACAAGGGCTTTTACAAGTTTTTTTCCCACACTGGAAGAAAGTCACAGCAGTTTCTTAACTGCATGAAGTTTATGACCCCCTTCACCCTAAAGGGACTAAGCTATACTTGCATTTTAAAAACTGGTGATACACAGAAAAAACCCACTAATGATAGAATCGCCCTTTTATGAGGCACATACATTGCTCAAATATTGCTTGAGAACAGCCTGATAAAGAGATATTTGCCATGAATCAGAACCTATTAGGAACAACTTAGGAGTTCTCGATATAGATATACAGCACATTTTTGTAATAAACTATTCAAATCAATAAGCCACTTGCACACTGTTTCACCATCTCTCAAACTTCTGTAACAATGTTTGGAAAAATAAATATTATTCATTAAAAAGTCATAAGAATCATCAACCATGCACACGACATTTGGTGACTTTATATTAAGAGTCCCTGTATTAATATATTCATGACTTATAAAAGGTAGAAGCTTTCACAAATCATTAACCTACATTATTGTTATGGCATCCACCAGCTTGCTCATGGTAATAGCATGTAGCTACCTATTCTACCTTGTATTACCATGGCCACACCCCTCTGTAACATGCCCATAATGTGTTTACAACTTGCAACAGTTCATAAATGATTTATAAAGAAATCTTAAAATGAAATATGACCCTGTATCTTTCAGGTTTTTTTAAGCCATCTGAGCTCTGCAGACACCGTATGTGAAAGCACAAGGCAAAGACAAAAACAAGACGCATCAGATTTTAAGATGACAGATGAAGAAAAAGAGCTTTTGCTATTTCAAAAATAATATCTTTCAGAGGTACTGAATACCCTCAATATAAGCTAACATTGCAACAGTATGATCATGAGTATAATTTTATGAAGTTTTAAATTAAAAAGGGCACCTGGAGAAGTTCATATATACTTAACCGAGTGCTAAGATGAACTTCAGTGCAGAATTAAACTTTCAATCAGTGCAATCACTTACCAATTTCAGCAGGTAGTTGCTTGATTTTGTTCTCCCGTATGCTAAGCATGGTGAGTTTTGACAAGTTTTTGATATCCTTTTCCACAGTAGTTATACGATTAAAGCGTAGGTAAAGGGTGGCGAGGGAGCCCAGCCTGTACACCACCGAAGGGATTTCGCGAAGTTTGTTGTGCCGCAGGTCAAGCATGCGCAGTTTCTTCAAGTTATCAAGAGAGTCAGGCAAACTGGTGAGTGAATTTTCACTCAGGGCCAGTGTCATCAGGTTCACAAGACAGCCCACCTCTGCCGGGAGGGACTGCAGTTTGTTACTGTATAAATAAAGTTCTGTTAACTGCGTTAGCTCTTTGATAGCTGATGGAAGCATGTGTATAGACCTCTTGGACAAGTCCAAGCGCATTGAATTCTCTTCCCGGCATTTATTTAGCTCTTTGATCACCTCAGCATTGCTGGATTTTTTGCGGGTACCTGTGGCTGGATTAGGTCTTTTTATTGTATTGTCCACTGAAAAAGCTACCCCAGGCTGCGTGCTACTGGAGTCCTTCTTTCCATCTTTGGCATCTTTCCCTTTGGTCTTAGGCTCCTTTTCTTTGCTCTCTTTCCCAAATCCTCCAGAGGCTTTGGCCTCCTTCTCCCTTTCTTTTGACGATGGGACTTTTGGATCCTTCTCTTTACAGTCTTTTTCTTTTCCTAGACTACTACTCATGGTGACTCAATGTTTAGAGAGCACCACATGAAATCTGTTTCTGAAGTTCACAAGAACAAGTCACTGCTGAGGCAACAAGGATCCTTAAAACATGCAAGTGTCGAACCAAGGGAGGAGCTTTGGAGGTGTGATACCCATTTGCTACATATTGGTTCTGAAGGCACTCTTTCCTAATTGTGGTGTCAGGAGATTCAGTTGTAGAGATCTGAAGGTCAAATGCTCCGTATTAGTATTTCTGTAACACAGAGAAGAGAAGCCAAATTTAGTGTAAATATAAAACTTAACTTTCAGTTAAATGTTGAATGTTTCTCTACTAACTCAAGTTAATGATTTGTCCTTTTCTTCAAATGTCAGAGAAAAAATCAGTGCTAAAACAAAAATATGACACACACATTGCTCAGAGGACCCATCACAGTCCTATGTCTTAGCTAGTTCTTAGCGTAACACCCTGGTCATCAATATGAATATTCTCTCCCCTCCATGCCAAATCAGTCAATAAAGATCTGCTAGAATTTTAAGTGCCTGTCTCTTCAACCAAAACTGTACAGGCTTATTCTTTCAGCACAAAAGAGCCTCACTTTGGTCTACAGTAAAATCTAATATGCTACTGTAACAAGAGCACTTTGCATCAAGATCTCCCTTCCAACCGGCTCTGAAATGCAGGTCTGCTTTTTAACAGGGAGCAGAACACTGTCACCAGCTTCATGTGCTTTCAAGACAAACACAAGGATTTTTAAAATAAACCTATCAAAAAGTAAGCTGAAAGCTCAGAAGAAATATCATGCTTCAAGACAAGCAGAATTACAAAGGAATTTCTCATGAGTGTAGGATAAGATATCGTTAAGCAGTATCTTGAATTCCCACCCCCAAGGACCATAATGCAGCTTAATAAGTGAACAGATGTCTGAAACCTGTAGAGCCCCATTTACATTTTTACAAACTCATCATGCATCATAGAAAGTAGCTTTGCTTCATGCTTCAATTCAAAACACATGCCATCCCTGAGAACTTCAAGATTCTGAATACACTGAAGAGGTTTTTGAATGTATCTTTGTGGAAGAAAACAAACAGTCAATCAACGACAACAACATCCCCCCTTATAAGTCCACCGTTCAACCTAGAATCAACTTCCCTTTGTTACACAGCATTCACTGAGAAAGTCTGTTTGTATCTCAGAGGAGTACCTTGTTTCCTCAACCACATGTGAAAATACCCTTAAAACCCCCAAAGAAGTTCTGTTGCCGCCTTGGCATTCCATCTTCTGCACAAGTTTGTAACGCTCATAATCAAAATCATAATATTTTGCATACTTAAGCCATCAACAAGTACTAGAAATACAAACGCGTTAGCAAAGCTCAAGTAACTATTTTTATTTGCACAGTTATGCTCTGTATAGTTGCCTTCAGGTACAACCATATCCTTGGAGAACACATGGAAGGGCACTTTGCTCAATATATTTATTCACACAAAAAAAGGTAAAGATAAGCTATTGAAGAACAGTAATAAGGACAAGCTCAAAAGAGACCCTTCCAGTCCTTCACCCTGATTAAGTACTGCTGTACTATCACAAAGCCTATGCTGCCGTTTTGGACAACTCCTTTGCAAACAACCATAGCTGTTTGCTGGCAGCAGCAGCTTTTAACTTGGAAATTGACTCCAAAGCATAGCTCCCTAAAGCAGCACAAGCTGGTTCCTTACTTCATCCTTCAGATTTCCACCCAGCTGCTACAACATCCATTAATCTGACCTATTCTCAAGATTACCAACCTCACTACATTATATTTTAAAGCTTGTTCTCAGCATCATATAATCTACTTGCTTGTAAAAACTCAGATTTTAGAGGAGACATAATGACTCCAAATGCAAAAAATCCAGCTGACTAAAGGGTGGGAGCCTGAAATGCCTGACAACTTATTTTCAGTACAAAAGGTAGCACAAAGAATTGAAAAATAACACAGTCAGTTTCTAAATTCTGATAATATAGAGAAAGCTCAGCCATGCAGCAGTGCCAGACAGCTACTGCTCCACATTCAGCAACTACAGTGCAAAATATTCCCAGGGCTGCTGCCCTCGTGAGCCTTCAATTTAATCAAATTTAGGACCCACCAAGAGATTTGGTTCATTTCTTATATGCATTGCAGCTGAAGGAGGTTTAGAAGAAGCCTCAGAAAGGAAAGAGGGCTGGAGATTAGTGCTGCTGAAAGCAGCTCAGTAGTACAAATGCTCCAAATAATCTGCATGCACTTTCACTGTCTTTGTTAGCAATTACTTCAATTGTACTATTTTCAGTACAAAAGGTAGCACAAAGAATTGAAAAATAACACAGTCAGTTTCTAAATTCTGATAATATAGAGAAAGCTCAGCCATGCAGCAGTGCCAGACAGCTACTGCTCCACATTCAGCAACTACAGTGCAAAATATTCCCAGGGCTGCTGCCCTCGTGAGCCTTCAATTTAATCAAATTTAGGACCCACCAAGAGATTTGGTTCATTTCTTATATGCATTGCAGCTGAAGGAGGTTTAGAAGAAGCCTCAGAAAGGAAAGAGGGCTGGAGATTAGTGCTGCTGAAAGCAGCTCAGTAGTACAAATGCTCCAAATAATCTGCATGCACTTTCACTGTCTTTGTTAGCAATTACTTCAATTGTACCTAAAATAATAAAAAAAAGGGGGGGGGGGGGGGGGGGGGGGGGGGAGGGGAGAAGAGAGGGAGGGCAGAACTCCCTGCTTCAATATGCCAGTTTAACATTTCATTTTCTGTTAAGGAACATAAGTCTTTTGCCCATACAATGGAATCAAAATTGAAAAGTCATTAAAAACATCTGAAACATGTAATGAAAATTCAGAGCAATACAAAGGGTCATGACCAGAGACTTCAACCTCTCCTGACAGTTAAAGCTGTTAGGAGGCAATCAACATGCAGACAAGCCACAGGCAGCCCTTGTTTTCCAACACATGGAAACCAAAGCCAAGCTCATGGGGCAGCAGGCCTTCAAAATACACTCTCTGTTCAGAGTGACAAAAGGCCAACAGTAAAATGTACTGCCCCTATGCCATTTTTATCCCTTTACTGAGGATTTTAATTACTGCCTGAGACTGCAAAATGTATTTTAAATAGTTTTACAAGGTTTAGCCTCTTTCTTTCCAAATAAAAGTAATTCTCTAATACCTAGAATAACTACGACCAGCACTCCTGCTGAGTAAAAGCTTATAATGAGAATTTCTCATCATAACAAGAAGACACAAAAAAGGCAATACTGGGGGAAGAGCATTGAAGAAAATGGCTCAACTGGAACAGCTTCACCTCTCCAGAATCTTTAGACCACCTCTAAGACACCAGCAACTGCCCTTTCCCCTGCCTACTCACCACGGCTGGGATCCCCAATAGCAGAAGGCTCCTGGGAATGACTTTCTAGGCTGTCCTGCAAATCCACTATGATGCTCTTAGAATGCAAAGGCAGGAGCTAAACAACTATATGAAACTCTTCCTGTTTCTAGTATTCTGTAACACTTGTGATTGCAACCTATATTATTTTAAACATATTTGCATGCAGCATAAATGAGAATACATATTTAATGCTGCATGCTTTCCATTATCAGGACTAAAATCTTACCATTTCATATATTAATGACCTAGTCTTGCGACAAAACTCAACCAAGCAACTACACTCAGAACTCATCAATCCTACCAACATGTAGACAAATGAAATATTCAACTTCACAGAACAAGCTCTACAGAACTTTTCTACCTCAATCATTCAAGCTGATGGGATTACTCACATCAAGTTCAGTATGTATGTAAACTTTTGGAGGACATGAGCATAACTACGTATACTACAGAGGAAGCTGAATATGTTTCAAAAGGTTATTCATATTTTTCAGGCCCTTTGGTCAAAGGACAAGAGTCACCATCAATTTTAAACTACAGTCAAACAAGCATTCATTGTATGTCAAAAGGAGAGCTTCTTTTGGAGATATTTTTAGCAAAAGGAAACTCAGTGAAATTAGCCGGTGCTGCCAACTACTTCCATTTTCCAACGCTGTGCAAACTGACTTCCTGTCAATATTAATTGACATTATAACATGTAACTATTATGTGCTGAAAAACTTGGAAAACTGAGCAAGACTTTCAGTTGGCACAACATATGAGGGAAAATAAAAATTCAGACAAGCTACAGAAAAAAATATCTTCCCTGTTCAGAATATAATTTTTTAAAGTAAAATATTTGTAAATAGCTATAAATAACTAGCATCAGAGTTTTGTTTCATTCCTCCTGATGTCTGGTGAATATAACCCAGATGTATTTATTTTTTTCTGTCAACAGTAACTGACAAACCTGTAGAAACACAAATAACTTCAGTCTAAACTGTATCACCGTCTTTAGCTGCCTGAAAAATAATAACACATTGATAATGTATATTTTACTGATTTTTTAAAATCTAGAAATCTCAGTTACTCTCAACAATAGAACCCAAAACATTTATGCAACAAAGTTTTTATAAAAACCTTGGTAGGGTAGGAACAATCATGCCTGCAACTCTCGGAATAATAATAAACTTATCACCTGCAACTTGATACTGTAAATACTGATGCTACCTCATCATTATCTAATACAATATAAAACCTGAGATAAAGGATTTCACCAAACTGTTACTCAAAGAAGGCTGTAAAACACTTCAATGTCTCCTACCCACTACTGAAAAGCACATTTACTACCCCTCCAGAAAACATCCCCTGCCAATATTACTCCACAGTAAAAAGTCTCATCCAATTACATTTTTTAATTTTTATTTTACATGAACAAACTTTTGAGCAGTTTTCATGCAGCTCTCTAATGCAATGTCCCATCATGCAACTAGCACCAGGGCTGCACTGGTGCTAGGTTGACCAAACCCCAGGTGCCCGAGGCCAGCCAGCAGG